ATCTTAATTCCGTGCTGCATAAATTTTTGCCACCAAGCGACCGTGATAATGATAAAAATATTTTTAGGAATGCAATGATTATCGCACGAAATAACAGAACCAAAACCACAAAATAAATGCTCAAACCATCGAAACATAAGTTTAAGCGCTCATTTACTGCAAAAAGTAAATCGATTTTGCATCCAGACACAAATCAAACATAAAACCTATTCCTTGCAGGGTCGACCTCCTTGCAGCGAGGAAATATCTCAAATTTGACAGTAATAGCGCTCAGAATAAGAATAATTCACTGTTTAAACATTTCAACTAATTTAAAGTTATGCGATAAACCAAATCCTATCTATTTCTAAATTAAAATCTAAGCATATCACAAAGAAATGCATCTATTTGGAGACAAAGAAGCAAAATTTGGAAAATCAACATCTGCTGCCTGACAAAATTTTGCACGAGTGAGTCGAAAAAAAATTAACTTTTACCTTGTGTTTTTCACGAAAATCGATTCCAACTGTTGAAATAAACTTTGGGTTGAACTCTCCTTCCGTATAATAATATAAAAAACTAGTTTTCCCAACACCACTATCGCCCAAAGCAAGCAACTTCACCAAGTAATCGTACTCAGCGATTTGGTGATACCCACCCGCCATCTTGTTTTGTTTTCAATAATGAAATCGGGTTCTTCCTTTTCAGCTGGTCAATTTCGATGAACCCAAGCGCGTCCAAGCGCGCCTCACAATGTTTGCTTTTTCACCTTTTGCTATCCACTGACGGGTATATATCACAAAATTGCCGCAAAAAGGTGTAAGAAATTACTTTGCGTGTGATCCTAAAGGAATGCAAACATTTTTAGCGGTTTACTTACAAAAAATGAGACCTCAAGCCCAAGGGTGTGACTCTATACCTGCTTTTTTATGAAAACCTTTCTTGAAAAAACCAATCCGAAAATGGTGTGAAAATTGCCCTCGTAAAAGACACCGTGTCATGTCCATCGTGGTTTTACCTGTGAAACCAGTTCACAGCATTTCAACCCAAAGACGAAAGGATTATCTGCGAAAATATCTTGGGACAACCTCTCCCCCCCTACCCCTCGATAGGAGATAAACCCTGGAGCAAATGGGCTGTTATGCAGGGCCATGTCCTTTTCTCCCCAAAACATTGGTGGCGCCAGTCACTAGGCTCTGGGAGGGGGGACAAAAAAAATTTTTTTAGAACACGCCCTTGTTACCGCCAGAAAATGCCAACAAGGAACGCTGTACGTTGCAAAAATCATATCCCTCCCCCAACACTTTCTCGTCGAAATTAGACAAAATACAAAATTGATCCTGCCGAGAACTGGGGGACGAGTCCCTTCAGTCCCTAGCCAATTTCTACTCTTATAAATGCCTTTTTGGAACTTTAAACACAGGAATCCCCCCCCCCCTCTTATTTTGAGAACACTGAGCCAGGGCCTTTAGCCTTAAATGTCTTTAGCAGTGATAGAACGTTAAATTAATAATAATAATAACAATCTACCATATTTATACAGGATAGCCTTTTCAGTAGAGATAATACTGCTATCACTAAGGGTCCTGTTGACATAAAAGCTTGTAAAGTAAAAGGTTCAAAGTTATAAGAGATTGAAGTCAAAGCTTGAAAAAATTTAAAAGGTTAAAAAAGTTACACTACAGAAGTTCAAAAAATTTATCGCCATAATTCTCGATCCATTGAAGAATACACCAATTCGACTCACGACCTCGCTTCAGAAATTTCTCCAAACTTAATTATACGACTTTTTTAAGCTCAGATATGGCTTTATCGCCATAATTTTAGGTTGGATACAATTTTTCATATTGTTCGAGCCTATATTTTAGATTTTACCGAGAAATGAAGTTTGAGAACTTGTAAGGGATTTGACCGCAAAAGTCGTTCCGGGGGAAACTTTACCCCCTAGTCGCCAATCACGGTCAAATCTCTTATAAAATTTTTATCTTTATGTCGTCATAAAATCAATATCGTGAGCAATATCATAATGAAAATTTCCAAGTAGACTGAAATCTTTGCTCTCAATCCGAATCTGATGTCAAAGATTTGTATAAAAGAATTTGAAAAATTTCTCAAAATGAGGCCGTAAGTCGAATTGGTGTATTTGGCAATGGCAAAACACATGGCGTTCAATGACCATAAAAGCAAGCAGCTAACGTGTAAAACCCAAAATGCACCTTGCTTTAAATATTTTCCAAGAAAGATATCCAGAACTGTAAGGTAACGGTATTTTTCTCTGCTTTTAAATATTTTAATGTTTGTTATGACCAGAAACAGTTTTATTTGGCTAAATTTTTTAAATATCTGGAATCTTTAGCAAAACAAACTGCCAACAACAGCGGTTCATTTCACGGAGTTAATCCAAATATTTAATTCTGTTTGAAAGCATTTTTGAATGGTAAGAATTTTGTTTCGATAACATCACAGGAAAACTGTATGCAGGAAAAAATATTTTGGAGGAAGAGATTTTCTGGGCTAGATCATGTTGAAGGTCTTTCGACAAAAACTGTTAATAGGAATAATGTTTTACAAGACTTTAATGGGCAGTATAAGGTCTGAAGGCTGTCCAAAAAGAATTTTCAAAGGGAAGCAGTATTTTTGTGTAAAATATGTTTCTCCATAAATTAACCAATTTCATAGCACAATTGGAGTTTAAAAATAGCATCACAGATATCCAGTTTCAATTAATATTTTTAAAAATGGCTTTGAAAAAAGCAAACATTTGAGTAAACTAAAGCTTTTCGTCTGTCACTCTTCAGAGTTTTAAACGTCAGAACATAGATCAAAACTCTACGCTAGGAAATATATATACCCAGTTGTGGATCGAAATAGGCCAATCAGAAACGCGACTGAAACGCACATGACTGTTGGAGTTGCCCAATCTGTCGCTTGCCTATATAGAAAGTTATCAATGGAGTCCTACGGAGATAAAAAAGTCGAAAATTGAACCCTAAGGTGAAGACGAAATACTTAAGTATGACTCAAAATGTTTGCTTATTCTAAAGCCATTTTTAACTTTTGCACAACTAAAAGACTGTTTAAATATTTTTGAATTGTTTTACAATATGTATCAAATTCACTCTTTAATGAAAATTGCCTTTTACCGGTCCGGCATTGAATGCTTGATACAGTGTAGGCAGAGCTATACACGCTATTTGGTGTATAGAACAAGACGGTTCTAAGTTTCTACTCCAGGTTTCACGCTCAATGCGATCGTCAGGCAACTTTTATTGGTGTGCCATGAATTCACACGTTATGTTGGTGTGCCACAAGGCTCAATAATGGGACCTATGATTGTAATATATTGTATTGTATTGGGTTGTATTGTATTGCATTGCATTATATGGCATCCCATTGCATTGCATTGTATTGCATCCCATTGCTTTGCATTGAATTTTATTGTATTGTATTGAATGTATTGAATTGTATTGTATTGTATTGTATTGTATTGTATTGTATTGTATTGTATTGTATTGTATTGTATTGTATTGTATTGTATTGTATTGTATTGTATTTTATTGCTACCCTGCATGCAAAAGTAGTTTTAGAACACCGAGAAGCAGTGCTTATCGTGCAGTGTCCTGGTGCTTTCTTTAGGTGAACTCTGGACTACGAAGCAACAATACACTATGACATATGGCTCCAACCAACCATGTGTGTAATTACGAGGATAAAATTCAGAAACAAAGCAAAACGGCGACGAGAATCCAGTGTTATGAGATAAATTTTCCAAAATAAATTAAATTAAGCGAATACTAATATTTTGCCCCGGCATACAGGGCTTTATCAGAGTAAAATTTATCTCATAAAATTGAATTCGCGTCGCCGTTTAGCTTTGTTCTTGAATTTTGTCCTCGTATTTATATTATACTCATTGCAAGATTCACAGAAATCGGCGGACAGCCCATCCTGCGGTTCTTCCTTCTCGCACGTATGTAATTAGTTGTGTTTACTGTAAACTTTTGAAAGAGATTTTCCTACTGTTTACTCTAACTCTTCTTGCACATTTTTAGAGATTAGCCCCTTTGTTGATGCCAAAAATTGGCAAGTTTCTACTTTTTCTTTCGTTTTCGCAACATTTTGTGCAAGATCCCCCTTGTCTAGGGGCGGATCCAGAGCAAACTTGAAGGAGGGGCAGTTGGTTATGGGGGCGCTGAAAAATTTTAAAAAATAGTTGACGAGAGTACGCTGCATACAAAAATTTCAGATCCATTTTCGGAATAAACAACATAACTTTGAGGTAATCCTTGAAGCAAATTAACCTATAGGTCCAGGAACCCTTTTCATCTGATTTTCATTTTTCGAAAGGGGCGCACAATTTCCAAAAAAGGGCGCCAGACTTGCTTCAACTCATTGAGGAAGGGGCAACTGCTCCTAGTTGCCCCCCTTAAATCCGCCACTGCCCTTGATATTTTAATAGCACTACATAACTGTACACATTGTAGCATTCTTAAGGGGAGTATGTCTCCCTGAATCATCACTTGTCACAAGTCTCCCTACGATAAAACCCAATTTAAGAAATTTTGACCCTGGAACCCTTAAAAGAACAGTTTGACTTTTGAGAAAGCAGTTTCTTCTTTCTTGGACTTAGAGTTGTCTTCCAAAAGGGTATTGTTTGAGGATCCATAAAATTTCACGGAAACGCCACTCCAATATCAAACAAAACACAAGAACAGCAGGGGTTTCTTTAAAGGTTTTTTCCTGGGGGCCGACTTCAGAGGGACTGAATGCCATAGGGGGGGGGGGACTTAAAGCAAAGGCGGCGCCACGGAGGAAGACTTGCGTAAGCAAAAGTTAGACACGGATGCTCTTTATTGGTAAAGTTGGGATACTCGCTTATGAATGGGCGTTGTCTGACAATAAAAAGGGTGTGGTCTAAACTAAATCTGTGTCTTTTGTCCACCCTATCCACAGCCTAGTGGCTGGCGCCGCCGCTGCATGAAAAGCCCCCTTCATATTTTTTTTATAAGTTCTGGAATTACCTTTCGGACCTCTTTGAAATCGACACCAAGCGTCGGTTGAAACAAGCTGAAGTCCTTCATTAAGTAGTTGTGTAGAAACGTCGTTTTCCCAACGAGGCTGTTTCCAATGGCCATGAGTCTGATCCATAATGGCGATCTTAGAGCAGGAATCCCGTCCATTTGCAAAACGATATGTCATTGTCACAAATGTTCGGTTCTTGGCTTCATCTTTTTGTGTTCATACACACTAGCAACAAAAAAATCTCTATAAATCCCCTTGGACACAAAAAGTTTTTATTGTCTAGCAGTTGGCAATGTCTGATTTTACCAAATAACTGTTGATACAAACTTTGATTAAAGGTCAAGCAAAGAATAGAGAATAACCTTCAAAACCTCCAATTAGACTCAAAGCTTTCCTTTCGATTGTATTTGGCTGATGAGGGAAACTAATAGCACAAAGGAGCATAGAAACGAGAATAAGATACAATTTATTAGTGCATACGCCCAGTCATGTTATGTTACCTAATTGCGTAGTCTGACTCTCCAGACTATTTAAGGGGGGGGGGGGGGGGTCGGTTTTGGGTTTTTTCGGTTTTAGGCCCTTCTTCTCTTTACACCCCCCCTCCTCCTCCATCAACTTCTCTCAAAAATCCGCGGTGCCTGTTTACAAAACCTTTTGCGAGTTTGTCTTGATTATTGAGGCACACACTTTAAAGGCTATTGCGCAACCAGCATTCTTAGCGGCAGTAGCCTTGAGAAATGGACTGTGTTTTGTATTTTCATGCAGCACGACTTTAGGCCGGTTCTTTGAGTTATAGTCACAAAGGATGCCGGTTGCACAAAAGCCTTTAAGTTTCACCAAAGAAGACCCAAGGCCTTTGGGGTAGAGTTTTGAAGACCCTAGAAATAGCAAGGCGAAGAGACGAAGGGAGACGCGCTAAAGGTGTAAAGGGATTACTTCTTTCAAGACAATATCCAGTGCCACATCTTTTCAATTTTATTGGCCCTTTATTCATGTGTAGAAAAAGCAGGGTTAGATCTAAAATTGTAATGGCAAGGCTCCGCGCCACAAGAGTGACAAGGGGCCATGGCCAATCCACTTTTTGTAAAGTAAAAGAATTAAAATCAGCTCGAATTATTTTAGATAAATAAATCTGTGGACAACAACAAATTTAGGGAACCAAAGTACAAAAGTAGAATAGCATCTGCAAAATGTTTGCCACAACTGGGGCTAGAGAGGGTAATAGGAAACGTTCTTTAAATTGCTGACCCCCTCCAATTTAGGGTCAGTGACGCGGGCCCTGATTGTATAGAGAAGCTTCATCTTTAAAAGACTATTATGTAAATTTCGTCGCTGCTTTCTGAAGTTTCTTCAATTTTCTAGCAACTTTAGGTAAACGAGATCAAAACATTGTGACGTCACACTGGAGACTCACTGTATTGTAGACAGCTAACAGGTATGCAGGTGTACATGACTATTCTAAGGACGGAAATACAGTGGTAAACTTTTGCAATTGCCCGACCCCAAGCAACCTAAGGCTAAACTCTTGCATCTGATTTCGAATCCCAGGATTAACGAATATTATATAGCAAGGGATAGGCAGGCCGGAGCCGCTGGGGCTGGGTGGGTTGTAGCCCCCTAATTTCTCGCTAAAGTATGATATCAAGGTTGTGGCATCAAACATAATGGTGGCGAACTACGTAAGGACCCTCCCCCCTTTACTAGAGCCCCCCCTACTGCAAAATGTGCTACGGCGTTCCCGAGGAAGAACTTTTGACATTTTTTGTGCTTTTGCTGCCAAAGCATTATAAGAAAGGAAATTAACTCCACTTTCAAGGGGCGGGAGGGGGGCCTTCAAAATAACTCGCCCCTTCCTATTAGGGTCCCTGATAAATAATAATAAAGATTTAAATAACCTCACCACTGCCTCGCCGCCTGCGCTCAAATTAGTGTTTCCATCTTGTAAAAGGATACAGAGTTTATAAAAGCAAACACTGATGAAACCTGAAGTCAATAGGCCTGAAATTCCTCTTTGTTGTGGTAGGATTTCGTTCACTATGGTGAGCGGGAACAAACGCTGAAGAATTACTTTTAGAACAAAAGACAACTTGAATTGTTTGATGTAAACGAAAAGGGATTGCTGCCATTATCTGATGGCTTTTAATTGAGTTTTATACATTGAACACTAATAAACCAAATTTTTATAATATTCGAAGGCTCAGAGTTAACATCCTGTTTTGTAATTATTTCTTTTTCAGTGTTACAGTTTTCTAAAATGACAAATGTCAAATTGATACTTTCTAGACACAAACATCTATCTTATCAACCCTATCTTTTACTCCCCGCAAAACAAAATTCTTTAAAGTTAAGCAAGGCAATTATCGGGTTGAGCCCCCATGCACTGTACTGTCTGGGTGTCAAACGACGGGGGTTAGTATAACAGGTTTGAAGGCGACGTTGATAAAGAATCAGTATTTTCCACAAATCTTCAACAAAAATTGATTTTATTTTATAATATATAGACTCAAACCCCAAAATTCTTCCCTGACAATGATCCATTTAATACAATGAAAATACATGTTTTATTTCTTATACTTTTGAAGTTTTATTATTTACAATCATATTTAACTTTTTAAGATCCAATAAAATTAATATTGACGATAAATTAGATACAAAAATTATAGGTGTCATAAATACGATTTGACAGAATAATCGTGAGATTTCAAAATTTATCATATAAATATCATGAATAAATTTAAATATAAAGAAATAAGAAGGAACTGTTAATCTTTAATGAATATTACAATTATAGTTTCCTGCATCCAGAGGTAATTGTATCTGGGGGTGGGGCGAGACCAGGCTTATGTAGCTTCTTTGGAATAACAGAAATGCCCAATTTTAAGGATAATTTATCATTTCACATTTAAATGAAAAAAGGGGCTTCAGACGCTTGAGAAAATTGTACTAGCCACGCCTTCTACTGATAGACAGACATGTCAAAGTGGAATGTCCGATAAGAGAGAGATAGTTTTAAATGCAAAACAGGGATACAAAGAAGCAGGCCAGAGGGACATGGCGGCCTTGCATACAGTCTTTTTTATAAGAACCAGTCAATTTAAGTTCATGCTGACTGTTCTTAACTTTTTCGAAAATCTGAGGCTGGATTTTTCTTAATTTGTTCTTAAATTAAGAGTGTGTAAGCAGTGCTATTGCTAACTTTTTCGCTCTAAGGAGGTGTTCAGGCCTCATTTGCCAACAAAGTATGTGAGACAGCCTTAATTTGCTGACAAATTTGAATATCCACCGAAAAAGCACCCATACATCGCTAAAAATCCTCGATTTTGAGAAAAAACGTTGTTCAAAATTGCATTTTGCAGAAGCTCAGCCTCAGCTTGTTCTTAATTTGTTCTTAACTTTAGACCAGTTTTGAGGCTCGTGTTCTTATAAAATTGTTCTTATAAAAAGAGTGTATACATGCAAAAAGACACGTCAAAGTGAAAGGTTTATACGCTTTTCACTAGAGTAGGGTAACGTGAAAAAGCTTCTTGAAGAGCTTCTTTCACATACTGTCTGGTGACAATTAGGGCCTAATGATTCTCTATACTGAAAATTGAAAACATCGAGTTGCGTTCTGGCCAACTACTTTCCAGCATTTGACTTTGCACCCTTGGGCCCACTGTCTATAGAAAAATGCACATGGGGTGGGCCCCCTTGGAGGTTGTACCCCACAATAAAGAAATCCTTAAAATATGCTCTGCTTTTGTACAAAAATTGAGTTTTCAACGCTAGAAAATCTACTAATTTTACAACAGCTTTAAATCTAAAACACTTCTCCAATATTGCTACGCAGTTACATATTTGTGTTCATCTGATGCTGCGTGGCCGAACTCATAGTCCACGTGCACGAAGGCCCTCTCTACTTGATCAAGTTGTTCGATTTTACGCTGTAAGGTTTCACCAATATTATGAGCTGTCCGTAGCGTCATTTCTTCTGGTAAAACGATATCAACCTAGATCAAAATATAACGAACTTAGACAATGCTTAGAGGCATCAACTCTGACGTCGTCAATAAACTGAATTCCCGCTTATTTTCCGGGATTCTTGATAACGAATTTGAACTGTTTCTTATTTCACCCATACCGTTTAAAAGAACAAATCATTCAGCTTAAATTTGGGTCCTATCGCGTAAAAACCGCAAGTCCTCAAATAAACCCCCAGGGACTTATTTCGCAAAATATATTTTGGGCTGGGGGGCTTATTCGGGGGGCTAGTGAGGGTGAGAGCTTTTTTCACCAAAAGTACTCTAGGGAGGGGGCTCATTTGAGGATGGGGGTTTATTCTAGGGTGGGGGATTATTTCACAAAAATACTCTAAGGTGGAGGCTTACTCCAGGGGGGGCTATTTTGAAGGTGGGGGCTTACTCGAGGACCTACGGTAATATTGTATTGCTATCGAGTAGATTTGCTCCAAGTTCTACTTGCTTGTCTCTTTCGCAGAGGTCCACAAGAAGAAAACAAAAAGCCACTGCTCTCTCAAGCGTGAAATATAGTCGGGGCAATTCTAGTTATTGAGTTTCGTGCGTTTAATAAGATTTCGATTTGCTCTGCCAATTGGAGGTGAAAGGAGGCAACAGAAATGCTTGGATGTTGACACTGGTAAAGTAGGGCTTGAAGTTCCCAGAAAAGGAGTATTTTTCCAAAAATAGTGAAAATTGGGAATTTTTCAAAATGTTGTGGAAAGGCAAACTGGTGCCCCCTATACCAACGTCAATCTCTCTGTGCCATTCTCCAATTCCAGGCAATCCCTTATCCTGCCCTAACACATTTCCAGACACCTCCCTTATCCCTAACATTGCAATAATCAATAACCTACCTCTGCGAGGTATCTATTCCCAGTTCTAAATGCTCTGACTGTCTCTATCTTCTCAATTCGATCATCATGCGTCACTGCGATCCATGTGATCCGCTGCAGTATATGCGAAGGCGCAGTTTTACCCGTCAAGTTCTTGATTTGCTCTTTGAAAGCATAAAATGTTAAACTAAAAAGATTCCTTGGATCCGTGTGGTTTGCTTACGTCATTATGCGCAGAATACTACCCAGATAAATGACAGGCTATGAATAAATTCGTATACATTAACAAGGACGGGAAGAACTCCAACAAAAGGGATTTTGAACCTATACGAGGCTCTGTTTTTTTGATAAGAGGTTAATTTAAGATGATATCATTAAGTCTCCGTATCATTAGTAAAAAGACAAATATTTTTTCAACTTCAAACTGTTCATGCTGTATTTTGGGAAAAGGAATCACACAATACCAAAATCTTTCAAATTTTTAAATGGAAAATCTTGTAGGAATGAACTTTCGTCAAAAATAATGCTTTTGGTAGAAATTTCGGGTCAAAATTTACAAATCAACGGTCCAATCAAATCCTAAAACATATTGAAAATGGAATATGGCGTAGCTAATGTTTAAGGATATCTCTACATGGTCCACCAGAACCGGATATCAGCCCTTATCGAGGATCACAGCGGATGAAAATTCACAAAGCAACGGGTAGAATTTCTTATAAATGGCTTTGAAAAAGCAAATAGTTTTAAACATACTAAAGTATAAACATCATCAGAGTATAAACGACAGAATCAAAAATTTCTAGTTTTATTATTTCTTAAATTTCCTTCTTTTTCATAATTTATCAATCTATTGAGAAGTTGAGGAGTTGATAAGTTTGTACAGTTGCTTGTAAAATTTATTGATAGAAATAAAACTAATTTAAAAAAACATTCATAAATAATTTATTTTTAGGTACAGCAGCTTGTTTACTGCCCAGTAAGCTTGTTTACAGACTAAACCTGAATGGTAGCAATTTATAACAAAAAAAACGAAATACCAAATGAAAAGAGAAAAGGTGAATGACATGAGCGGAATTCTATATGGTCCATCATCACCAGATACAAGTTGATGGCCTAACTTCCCAAAATGGAGATTGAAAAGGGAGAGAAGAAAAACCAACGCTCAGGAGTTGAAAAAGGAGATGTTTAACAAACAAAATCAATAAAGAAAGATTAAAGGAAACAAAAATTTCATTTTCACAATCATAAAAGACAAATGAATAATAAAAAATAACTATATATTTGAAAATATTCAACTCACGAGCTCCTGTTTTCCACCAATTAACAAATATATAAACACTAATCAAAATTGCGCCAATCGGGTCTGCATACAACCAGACATATGTTCCTTAAATAAAAGAAATACAAATTATTTGTTAGGTCGACTAGACAAGGCCTATAAAAAGTCGTCAGCACCAACAAAATTCGAGTTTCTCTAAAAATCCATTTTAGATTCCTGGAACATGAAGAAATTTCAATTATATAATTGGACTGTTGAAATTTCAAACTAAAAGGTGTACTTTTTTTCTTGAAATCTCTGAAAGAATTTAAAGAACACCTATTGATTCATAGGACCCGAGATGCCTCCGTTGGCCTGAGGTGTATCATCTTATGAAGGTCAAGATGACAGAATCCAAGGATCATGCTTTACCTCTTTGTAAAATTAATTATTTTCCGTTTAAACTTTGAATTGCTGTTAAAGTGCTACACTTTGATACAACCAACTTACTATAGACATAAATATACAAATTACCGATACCTCAAGGACATAACAACTAAATATAATAACAACCATAATTTTAACAGTTGTTGATGATTAAGATAACCGTGATGACTTGCAACTTTGTGATAGCAAGCTTTGCATAGATCATAGTTGCCTGAAATGTTAAGCATGGAACTCGGAGTAGCAATTAGAACCGTCCTGTTCTATACACCAAATATATAGATAGATATTTAGAAACTGAGAAGCTTGCTTATCGAGCACTGCTCTGGTCCTTTCTCTAGAAGTGACCACACCTCATGATTCTTATGCCCGGATTAAAGAGCATGGCGACTCTCTTCACTCGAGGTAAAAGTTCCGTCATATAAGTTACTCGAACCCAAGGCTCTTTAATCTGTAGTCTGTGACCATAGCTACTGAAAAAGTGACCACACCTCGTGATTCCTACGCCTGCAATTACAGAGAGCTGGCGAATCTCCCCACTCTGGGTGAAAGTTTGATCATGCGAGGGACTCGAATCACGGACCCTTGGGTCTGTAGTCTGTGACCATAGCTACTGAAAAAGTGCCCACACCTCGTGATTTGTTAGCCAGGAAATATAGAGAGCTGGCGACTCTTTTCATGTTAAGTGCAAGTTTGGTCATTGTTGTAAAGTCTAGGTCGGAGCAAAGAGAAAATCCATTTGTAAGATTATTTATGTGATTTTCGTTACAAAAACGTGCTTACTACACACTCAGCCACAATAGCCAACTAACTAACCCTTGAGGTCATGTGACGAAGCGACTTAGCACGAAAGACTTGTCAACGCAGTGGTCGACGGGAGAAAGACTGGGCACCACCCTGCTCCCAGGACTCGATCGCAGTCATGTCAGTTACATGAGCTTAAGACCCTTGAGTCCACAACCCTACCCACTGATCCATTCTCACACCATAATAAATTCTCTAAAAAGCCTGGAACTGAGTCACACATCCAACATAATACATACCCAGTGCTCCAAATAAGAGTGCAAAAGAATTAGAGACGGTGTCATTGATGTGGTCTGTTGCTAATGCTTGTGTCGACGGTGTATCATACCGTCGACAGTAGATGTACAATGCTAGTTTGGTAACAATTGTAACTGCGAAACAAAATAGGCATTAATTGAGATAAAGTAAATATGTGATGCTGTCAACTTGAAATACTTGAAAATATCCAGTGCTATTTCTGCTTACAAGTAAACTGCAATGATATATAACACTTTTTGGCACATGATATTAGTATAATTGTTTGGGAACGTACATTCCAGACTTCTCGAATATAAAATGAAAAGCAAAGGTTCCAAACGCGAGTCTTGAGGAATGCAAAATCCTACAAAACTGTTATTAGAGTTGTTGCAATCATAATTGCAGAATTGTCCCTTTTTGGCAGATAAGATGTCGGCCACTAGTGAGCGTCGCCTTCAACATTGCATACCCTCAGTTTTGAAAGCAAAGTTCAGCCTTTATGGGCGACTGCATGTAAAACGCTCACCTGCAACAAGGATAATGGACACGGCGGACAAATCTGGAGATACATTCTTGCTGATAATTCCTTCTATCGATTCACGAATCATGACGACAGATGCACTCGCCATAATGCACGATAGTATTACTATGGCAACAGGTTCAAGGCGCGTTCTACCTGCAAAGAAGATTTAAGGATTAAAAATAGCGTTGGCATTTTGGGACTCTAGGCCAAAGCCCAATGACCAACTCTGCTTCTTCTTCTCCTTCTAGAACCTTCATCTCCTTCTTCGTCTTTTTCTTCTTCTTCTTCTTCTTCTTTTTCCTTAACTTCTTCTTCTTCTTCTTTTTCTTCTCCTTCTTCTTCTTCTTGCGTGCCTTGTCCCTCCAGGACATTGGCCATCATGGTTTCCAATCCCTCCCTTCCCCTTGGAAACATCAACAGTTCTGCTTAACTTTTTCTGCCAGTATTAAGACCTATGTTCCATCTCATAATTTCATTCTGCCTTTGTTATCCTCTATCTCTTCTATCCTCTATTTTCCTTTAAGCACTTATTATGTTATTTATAATGAATTATAGGTTATTGATCTTTAAAGAAAATCAAGAAGAAGAGAAAAAAATAGAAAAAGGGCCCATGAATAGAAACGGGATCAGTTTTAGAAGCTGAGACGGTAAGAAGAATGGCGTTGGAAAGGGAAAGGGGTAGATGTGTGATTTTTTTACGGGTGGAATGGAAGTAGAGGGGTGGATGATGGGGATTGACGTTTGGGAGAAGGTGGAGTACAGAATAAGGAGGTGGTAAAAGCTGAGAGGACAAAAAATAGAAGGAGGGATAGGAGTTAGGGGTTGAGGTGTGAGGAGTTGAGGAAGGGTGATGTTAGGATTCGGATTACGTCACTTAAAACACAAAGAATGAAATTTTGATTGTTTAAACTTGTATTTATATGTTTATATTGTTAGCTATAGTTAATATCGAATCAAAATAAATGTGAAGCAACAAAGCAAAAAACTCACCTATTGGGTAATGATATATGTCAGTTTTTCGCATCGCCCTGCTGGTATACCAAATAATAAAACCGGACACCAAATCAACTGCACTGTCCACTAAACTTGATACTATTGCGAGGGATCCGGACAGGCCCACTGCTACTGCCTTCGCTGTGATTAAGAGCTATAAAAGAATGAACAGATCGATATGATTGACAGCTTATTGTTTCAAACAATCAGATGCGGCTGGATTGACAGCTTGTTCTGTGACTGGCTCTTCTGATCAAAAGTCCTAATTTGATTGGCAGTTTACATACGGGACACTTATGAACCAATTATGCTCGAGAGTTTCCAGTTTAAAAATATAAAAAACAAGGCAGTTTTGAATGCCCTTTACACGCCAAAACATAAACCTGGCTTGGTTTTCAGGCCGGGTTGAGACTTATTGAATTGGGATTTGGCTTTCCTTCACATGATATTTTGAGCCTGGGGCCAGTTTCGGCTCAGTATTTTAAGTTCTAGAGCGGACTGCGTCTCGTTGTTGAATCATTTTAAACCGCTAAACGCTCAGAGCTTAGAAAACATGTGTAAGTCACCCCATGGTGAAATTTCATCCCGGGTTGCAAAAGTGACCTGAGCCTGGGGCCACTTTCGGCTCAGTATTTTAAGTTCTAGAGCGGACTACGTCTCGTTGCTGAATCATTTTAAACTTCTAAACGCTCAGAGCTTTGAAACATGTGTAAGTCACCCCATGGTGAAATTTCATCCCGGGTTGCAAAAGTGATCTGAGCCTGTCCCGGGTTGAGATTTCCTAATGTAAACAACTACTCTCAAAAACAAGGTTTTTCTGACGGTCCACGTGAAACTCAATTCTGTGTCGAAAACAATCGAAGTACGTTAATGGCTTTTACGAAAAACTTACAAGATTTGCGAAAAATGAAATCTGTCCAGCTAACGCAACGTCTTTTAGCAATGATCTTGCGTCTATTTCATCGTTGTTGTTCATAAATGATTCGATCAAACGCTTTTGACCTTTGTAATATGACCTGGGAACGAGGAAGCAAATGATGACGTCAGTGACTACGACAGCTGTAACCGAAAGGCTGCGAAAAGAGTATAGGTATGGACAGGAAATTTGTCCAAAATACAGTATTTAAAAATTTTTATACAAAACGATATTGGAAATGGGATTGGACGAAGAAGTGTTGGTTGAGATAGTAACGGTTAAATTAGCAAATGGAATGAAAACATTTTTAATAACGAAGGAAGGACGACAAATAAATAATGTTACCAAAACATAGTTAAATAGATAGAAATAATTAATTTCATATTTTAAGTTAGCGTTAATAAGCATGCCGAAAACAAAAATAAACCACACAGAAGCGAAAATGTAGAAACTGGATACACCCCCATCCTAGCTTCGGTCACCACCTAGCTGCTGAGTGTAGTTTTAAGGACACTGAGAAGCTATGCTTATCAAGCAGTGTTCTGGTACTTTACTTCGATGTGACCACATCTCGTGATTCCCACGCCTGGAATAGCTGGAGAACTGGTGATTTTCCTCTCAATTGATGATGACAGTGAAACGTATCACCGACCCTTGGTTCTGTAGTCTAGGTCTCTAACCAAAGAGTCATCCTCACAACTTTGCTGGACCACAACAAGGGAACAGCCGGGGGAGGGGGTCGCTTTACCAAAATAAGCTACCTTCGTTTAAGCCCCCTCAAGATAAGCCCCCTCAGCCCCCTGCTCAGCAGTGCCTGTTTCTTTAATCTTTGCTAGTGTACTCAGTGCAAATTCTTAAATAAACGCTTGACTGGAGGTTTGAATGCCATTCCCTGCGCAGTATGCAAGCAAACAGGAACGTAGCCAACGATTCTCTTTAGCTAAACAAGCTAAGCCACTGCAGTGGGCTAATCTTTGCAACAACAGAATGGATTTAAGCTTTTAGTCAACTTTTTACAAAGACATAAAATCTTTGGTGCACAGATAACTTACCTCACATTTCTTGGCAATTCACTATCCTTGCATTTGGCTAAGGCATCAGCATGAGCATTCAGCAAATATTCCGAGTCCATACAAAAGTTGTATTTTCCTGAAATTTATATACACATTAAATACACAATATTTTCAAGCTCTGGCCATTCAAAATTATCAATCAATAATTGCATAATTACAATATAATTCCTGGATTGATTGAACAGTTAAAGATCATTAATCATTAGTTGTAAAATTTGTACCTATGACTTAAAGGGCATATGTCGCATTAGCAGTTGGCTAATGAAACAAAAGCGTTTGGAGTGGAATTACATTGTTTCGAGACTGTTAATTTCTTCTTAATTAATTTTAAATGCCGTAAAAATTCACCCTCGATTCCATGCTTTGTATTAAACAAAAGAGATAATTGTATTGCATTAGCCAATCATGTTCACGACACATGCCCTTTAAGATAAGTCATAAATAAGAAATGTAATACATCTTGCTTCAATTTATTGAAAAAGTTCAAGCCGAAACATGAACCAGAAAATAGCGCACTGTACTTGATGCCAGCAAATGTAAATGAAAAAACTTATAATTTTAGAAAATTACCAGTATATTTTGGTGTGCTATCATTGCTTAGGTTTACATCGTCAAAACTAGGACTGTCTCTATAGCTTTCTGGGACTTGATTGGACAGAGCAACGCCATTCTCCATGTTCTTTGTCTTCTGTGACCAAACCAAACTCTAGAGAACAAAAATAAGTATTTTTCTACTAAGTCTTAAAGAACTAAGAGTCAAAACAGGGGCATTGTAGAAATGCTTTGAGATGCAGTTAGGCTTGCATATGAGGTTTCAACATATCATAGATATAAATATGAAGAAATATAATATATATAATTAATAAATATAAATAATAAGAAAATGGAAATACACAGTGTGCTAGGCATATTAAAAGCAATATCAAATACTCTATTGGCATATTTGAGCCAGTATCACTTACTTTTAGGCATGGGTGCGTAGTTATGAAAGGTATGCTGAAGGTAATCTTCTACAAGGTCCTGCTCACGCATCCGGCTCAGTAACAAATCCAAGGTATTTTGTATTCCATACACAGAGCCTTTACCTAATGTTGCTAGGACAACTCTTAACAATTCCTAAACATGCTAGATTATATTTAAAAATATACATTTTATCTTCTTACCTATGGGCAGGTGCCATGAAAATACAAGGGGGGTATTGTAAGAAACAAGATTGGAAAACGTGTATGATTTTGCTTACGTGTCATTGAGACAGAGGGGCAAATCACTCCAAGAAAATCTCCTACACTTTTTGTTAAAATCCTATTGTTTTATCTGAAAATCCCTGGAAATCCTTTTGTTTTAGGGAAAATCTTATACGCTATTCGCAAGATTGAATTGTCCCTTGATTGAGACCAAGGCACATTATTAGCTGTGACCTACCAGCAGAAGCATTTGAGCTGGGAGCAACCATGCCTACTATATACATAGTATAATATATGTGACTTCATTGATATTTGGGTAAAAAAGGTCAGAGGTGTAAGCACAAGAAGTCCAGCATGGCTGTGAGCGTATGCAAATTTTCCAGCCTGGGCAAGAAATAGTTTCAGAAACAAATGTAGTACCGAATGGACTGGTCACTTTATGGCATCGCAAAAAGGGATGAGCCAGAATGAGCCCATGAGTGCAAATTATTAAGGGGTGTCGGGCTAATAAATTGGATATTGACAAACAAAATACCAGTAAAACCCCACAAAAACATGAAAAAGAGAGAGATTACTGTACTTCAACGAAGCCCAGTATGAAAATGCCAGTACAGTTTGCAATGCACTTGAAGTACTGGCATTTTCGTTAAGTTTATTTGCCAGGCGATTTTTGCTTTTCCCCACTCTTTTTTTAATCGGTTGTATAAAAGCAACGGACTGGAAATAACTCCGAGCAATAACTCTTTCATTTAAGACAAATTACCTTTATGACAAATGCTTCTTCCTGAAATTCTAATAATGCATCTTGGAACGCCAAGGGCAAGGTTGTTTTCGTTTATAGTAGCATTCCACTGGCCTAGCCAAACCACAAAACAACGATCTTTGCCCTTATGTCACGACCTTGATCTTTGTAATTTGAAAAAGAACGACAACTTACCAAATTTATGCTTTTTTACAGCAGCTAAGCATCTGCTAACTTTAAAATTCAACCTGCATGGAGTTACTGCAGTGAATTTCCAGCATCTTTGCGTACATCGTGCGAAGAAAACTGCATTTGCAGCATCCAACAACAACAATTGAATTGCATTATCGTGATTGAATTGAATTTAGCGCCGAAACAGCTGCATGCCCTTTTAGAGCCAACCCCCCTTAGCCTGCGCGCACAGGCACCACGGAGCAGGGGGGGGGCTGGGGGGCTTTAGCCTCCCACTTTTTGCAAAAATGCCAAATATTAAGTACCAAACTACCAGAAAAGCCTCTTTTTATACGGTTTTAGCCCCCACACTTTTTTTAGATCCCCACTTTTCTCAACGCTCTGCGGTGCCTGGCGCAAACTCGACTTGTTTTCCCAGAGACGAATTTAGTTGACTGGAAAAGACTAGATTTTCCATTCAACTGAATTCATCTCTGGGAAAACAAGTCAAGTTTGCGCGCACGCTATTCCGCTCTCATTAATACCACATGGGCTCGGTCGCAGGTTGAAAAGTTGGGGGGGAGCAAGGGAAAATTTAAGAATTATGACAACAAATTTAAAAAAAATATCCATTGTTTTGCAAAATGGTGGGGGCATGGTCCTCTGGCAGGGACAGTGGAAGCGAGAAACTACGAGGGCTTAATACTCCAAAAATTTCCAAAATGTACTTAAAACCATACAAAAAATGCGCTGCTCTTGGTTTTTAGCAAGATTGGCCCCCCAAAACATTAAAGTTCTTTGCCCCCCTTCGTCAGCATATTTTAACTGTAGCATAGTACCAGTGGATAAACGCAGTTCAGGGCACATAAGTTCGATAACTAGGGACATCCGACCGATAAAGGATCCCCCCAATTATTTCTATATCCATGTTTTTCAGACATCGCTAAAGTTCACTTCATTTTTAGAACTGAACTCAGCTCCCCCTAGTTATTGAAAAAAAATTTCATAGTGTTGAGACTTTTTCGAAATGGTACGTGCCCCACCAGTCAACAAACAAAAGATAACCAACGAACGACTTCATTTACCCCACTTCTCTCGTTAGCTTTTTCCGTATTTGGGAAAGACAGATGATATGTTGTTGCTACTTCGAAAGAAACTGGCTCATCCAGTGATCACATGATCAGTGTCACCTAAGGGCCGTGGTGTCGTAGCCAGTCGTGAAAATGACCGTTTTGATTGGTGGGGCAAATACAGTAAAAAAGTAAGAAATAGGGACCCCCGTTTCTCAGTTTTTCCTTAGGACCCTGGATGCCACTGTTAGGCCACTGTTAGGCCACTGTTAGGCCACTGTTAGGCCACTGTTAGGCCACTGTTAGGCCACTGTTAGGCCACTGTTAGGCCACTGTTAGGCCACTGTTAGGCCACTGTCAGGTAGCCTGTGTCCCAGACCCCTAACTCTACTTTTAAGCTAGGGGTCTGGTACATAGACTACTGTTAGGCCACTGTACACAGCACCCAAAGAATAAACAATATGGAGACAAATTTTTCTTGACAAATAATATTATGATAATAATAATAATAATTTATGTCATTTCACACTACAGCTTCTCATATACATCGATTTTATTTTTACAGTTCACTAAAAATGGGAAATGCTAAGATGATTCCCAGCTAAAATGCTATTAACTTCAACGAATCTTTCTTAAACCAGGCCTTTCTAAATAGGAATAGATGAGACCGAATATACTTTTTAGGCCATCTAAATAATCTTCTAAAACAGCGGAGATGTCTGGACATAACCACGTGATTTAGGTAAGATATACCACGTGATTTAGGTAAGTTCAAGCAACATGCACTATCAAGACGCTGGTCTGGACAGCCAATAACTCCTTATTTGTTGCCTTGAATCCAGACGTGAACAGATGCATTCTGGGAAACCTATAGGCCACAAAGCATTAGTGTTAGCAGATAGTCACTTAAAAGGTTCCAAGAGCAGTTTGTAAGCTACTTCTAGTCAAAGTTAACACAAAAAACATTCAATGTACAGATTTACAAGAAACGAATGCAGTTGTTCTGAACTCAAACATAAAATCGAATCAAACTGACGTGGTTCGTTAGGGCAACAGTCTCTAGAGCAAACAACTTTCGGTTTGTTCTATGATATGCGGACAAGTCAAATGGAAATAAAGAAGTTTGAAGTTATCAATAAAATTCACAGCTGGAGATTGCAACATCAGCTGTAGAAAACAAAATATAATCAACTTTGCCAAAAAATGGCCCTTAGTATTGCACATTTGCTTTTCGGATACACGACTGATTTATGACACAGCACCTTTGAACACTGACCTTTAGCCTTAGCCCTATTCAAAACTGATGACTTTCCTAATTCAAAACCGAGAGCCTACATTCTTTTCCCTATCTTCTGGTGTTTGCCTTCCATGTAAAAAGCCAATGTTTTAATTTCTACAACAATCTGAATTCATGCTTCCAGATTTTTCTTAAACTCAAGCTTCGAATTTCTTTTTCGAAAATTTCCGTATTTTTCCTAAACAATTCGTTGCTTTTTTAAATTCAAGGTTAGTTGAAAATTCAATGTAATATCAGATTCAAGTCAGCACTGCCTTTTATTTAATCCCTTTTTCTGATTCTAAAATAACGAATCATTGCATTGTTGTATCAAATATTTATTTAACTTATTTTTTCGTCACTGATATGACACTTTCTACGTCAAACAAAATAAATAACAATTTAAAGAATAAAACTAGTCAAATATTAGTATTTAAAAATCCACAACGGTTTCATCAACGTAGCTTTTGCTTGTACCTCTTTTTAAAAGGCCTCGGTCTCAGCTATGCAAATCTCTTTTAGCCTCTCTTTCAGGTCTTTGTCTCTATGCAAAATGGAGGCATTTTTGCGGATTTTTCAAACAGCCTCGTCTGCCAATCTAACCTTTTGTAACTGTGGTTCGGATCTTCAAATCTTTTCTCAGAAAAGAATATTGTGAACAATAAATATAGTCCAACTAAAGGATGATGTTGTGAATGCCGCAAACATCATCAACACAATGATGTGAATGCCGGGATGACGTCACTTTTGTCCTTAGGATGCTTCATGAGAATGACGTCACACAAAACAGAGTTTGAGCGGACTCTGGCAATTTCTTTCAGAGACCTTTCAACAACCTTCAATGTAAGAGACAATACTAGCGATCTCCTCCGTAATGGCATCTCCTAAGAACTGGCACTCTAGGACACAGTTACGCGCCAAACCCATTGAGTTTGTCCCACCAGAGGCCAGTCCACTTGCTAATGATATGAGCGAATGTTTCTTTAGTATATCCGACACCATATCAACACACCTTCTGTTCCGCCATTTATCAAGCAGCAAAATGAGCTCTTCTTGCTCAACACGTCCCATTAGTACCGGGCAGAAAGCTATTACCTGGAACTCTTTTATAAGCCTCTCAATGCTAATAAATTCGCTATTTGGCGAAGATAGGCGATCTATAACCGGCTGTAGGCGTTGGCTATATTGCGATTTTACCGGCAATTTTGGAACTTCAAGCAGGTCTTTCTCCTCTTCCTCAAGACTGAAGTCATCATTTAGCAGATGAGAGGCGTGGAAAACCTCAAAAATTAAGTTCACGAACTCCCTACAAAGAACCGCATCCAACTTCACCTGCTTGCCATCATTGCATGAATCACAGGCCTCATTTGAACCAATATTGTCTTTTGAACTCTGAATATCACTTTTATCCTTTGACCTGCTGACCTCGGAATTGTCCTTTAACCCATCAGTACAACTTTCGTCTTTTGACTGCACACCAATAGAAGCCTTCTCCCTTGTACCATTATCTAGAATGTTCTTCATTAATCCTGGTAAAGCTACAAACATAACAGTGGGACAACCCAATACTTCTCCATTGTTATTGTTAACAAAATTTGGCGATAAAACACCCTTATTCACTTCAGTCAATAAAATCGACTCACAACTTATACTGTCCACCATAACACCACTTCTTCCAAGATGACAAAGGCCCTTTAATACTTGCAAAAGTATCAAACACGCCTCCTTTTCAAACCTCTCTGGGTCACGTGCATGTTTATCCATAGTCATAGCGAGGTATTTTGATAGTCCCATGCGTGGCGTGCATTTCGAGACAAGCATTCGATTCACGTGGATATCATGAGGTACTTCATCCGTCGCGCCTTCGTCATCGTCTCTGCTTCGCACTATGTCCTGACAAATGTGAAGGAGGTTCTCATGACGTGTCAGCTCTTGGACTGACTTGGCCAAGGCAGCAGGCTCCGGACCTTGCAAAAATCCAAGAGACTGGCGCAGCTGGAAGCAAAACAAGGAAGTTTTAGAAGGGCTATAAAACCTTGATACAAGAAAGAAGCCTAAAGGATACTTAAAGACTCTTGCGCAACCGACATGCTTTGCGACTGCTGTTTTTCACGTGATGAGAAATGGGGTGTATTTGGTTTTGAAAATATATTCGCAAAGCATGCCGGTTGCGCAATAGCCGTTAATGGTGGCAATTTGATACGTATATTCCTATATCAAACAAGTTATTGTGAAGTTGTTTTGTGAGCAGGGTTGCCACATGCTTGGAATGGTTGGCGACCAAATATTTTATGCTCGACGGCCAATTTTGGCCATCCAAACAAAATAGCTACAGTTTGGCTTATTCTTTGGGGGTAATAGTGTAATCAAAATTGGCTTTGTGTTACAAAAGCTCCAACTTGCTTTCAATTTCAATTTTCGGTTATCTCTTACATTGTTTCTTGCTTCGACTATTTCAACGAAATGTTGAATATTTTATGTGCAAAAATTGTCATTTTTGTATTTATGTGGCTTTCAACATGCGGCGAAAATTCGGCCAACTTTTGCTTTCTCAGTCAAATCAATTTTCGACGGCCAAAACCTCCAAAAAACGGCCGGATTGGAGGTACTTAGCCGTGAAATCGGCCAAATAATAACGAGCGTCAACAGAAGAAGAATCTATAGTGTCTTTCTACAGGCGGTCTAGGCCCTTTGGCCTAGGCCATGATTATCAGATATTTCAACGTCGTAAGAAGAACGAACCCATATCGACTTATCCAAATTGCTGACTCGATGCATTAGAAAAGCTTGCTGTTAAAAATAAGTATCACTCACCCATGCCGTATGTTTCTGTCCGCCTTTGATTTCCTGTTTCTTAACGGTGACAGGTACCGTGACGTAACTGCTCAGTCCGTAATTTAGCAACTTTCCACACACCTCGAAATCATTCCAGTCCGTATTTTTCAATTCTCCGCAATCACATTTGAAAAATGTCGCATCTGCGATCTGTTTTACAGTATCACGATGTATCTCAAGTAGTTTCTCGTAACTTTCGGTCGAATATCTTAGTAGATTGTCTCCTTGGATTGGCGAATCTCTGTCAACATTCTCGTAATATGAATCATCGAGGTAATCTTCTCGCTTGGATTCAAATCCGCCAAAATCGCTTGACAGAGATCCCCGTCTCCGAAGCTGGCTAGGCCGATCCATGGTCCTGTCAGATTGATAACACTTCTTTCCACGATTAAACTTCCCGACTAAATTGCAATCACTAGCCGATGATTTCAAGGATTGTGAATCCGGATTAATAGTTTTTACATTACAATCTTTAAGATTCGAACTAGATTCATTAGATTCATCCTCACTATTAGACAGAGTCGGTGATAATCTTGCACCTAATCCTTCATTTTGAACGACAACCTTGCGGTGGCCCCTTTGTGAAGAGTATGGCTCTGGTCTCGTCATGTTATCATTCCCGCGGGTCTTTCTTCGTGGCTTCTCGGGTACTGACTTTTTGGACGCTTCTTTGTCCTCGCTATCACTTCGAGGGGGCTTTGAAGGTCGTGCTACGTTCGACTTCGAAGGCGGGTAGTTATCATAAGCACCTTAAAAGAAAGTCATATTCATTATAGAGCATATTCCAAAACTAGACAGCAGACCATTCGCTAATTCTACCCAAACACCTCCCTGAGATGCATGACAACTAGGCAGTTACCTGGATATGCTAAGTCTGTATGAATCAAAGTTTGCTTGCATATCTTTGGAAATTAAGATGAGTTTATTCATTGCTGATGATGATATGAAAGGGCTCGGGAGCTTTAAGCAAACCCCTAACAAGAGAAAGGAGCGAGGGGCTAGGAAGGGAGATGGAAGGGATAATTGTTGACTGATAGCTTTGCACAAAGACATGTAAGAAGTGCCTGGGAGCTGAAAGAGGGTTTAGCATTCTAAAGTTTATAAGAATCGGGACGAAAAAGAGTTATGGGATAGCATTCGTGCTTTTGGCAAAGTGTCTTGGAAAGTGTGGGCACTGAAAGAGTACTTGGTATAACGTAAATGTCTCAGGGGGATCAGTGACCATATCTGTGATCTCCTGGGAAATGAGTTCAAAATAAACTGCATATCTGTGCAGTGAAAATGTTGCATTCTGCATTTCATAAACAATTAAATGTTTCTTTAGCTGCCTAATGATTGCATTGAGCAGGAGTGGAGCCACAACTAAGAACCACCCTGTTCTATACGGCAGGGGCTACGTCAACACACCACTCTCTGCACTCAAATAGCATGACCCCCCAATTGGGGGAACAAAGAATGAGGAGGGGAGTAGCTGCCTTTACCATAAACAAACCAGTTAGCAGTAACCTTAACAGGTAATAAGTCTGGTACACAAATAGTCAGGTTAAAAGCATACATTATGCCTGGTGATCTCATCAAGAGCTTTTCAATACCTTCACAAATTTTCTATTATTTTGCACCTGATCTTAGAACTTTTATCTAATTTGCTACAGCTTTTTGAATTTTGGTTTGTTTAAACAAATTTGGCGGTTGAATTGATATTCTATTGCGGGTGGTGTAATACTTCTGAAACGTAAGTGTGAGAAAGTCGGAGTTGCACTTTTCATGTTGTCATCAGGCAAAGGTTTTAAGCAAGATAATATGAAATATATAATGAAATATATAATGTATGAAACTCCTTAAATATTGTAATATTATAAAGAAAGCAAAATTAAGTTTCCGATGCTTACCCTCGGTTTTAAAGACATCTCCGTTTACATCCAGACTTTCTCCATCCTGCTTTCCATCTTGCCCTACACAACCGCCTACATTTGAAACGTCATTCAATTTATCATAATGTCGTACAGGTTTCTCGTCGTCTGTCGTCGGTTGGTTAAAGGCCAGTTTCTCGTCAATGTTCATCGTTTTCGAAGCAACCGGAGCGTTTGGAGGCTGTGGAGCACGATATTTCGTATTACCACTATCATTGTAGGACAAAACAGGACTGGAAACGGGTGTTATCCTTGCGGAACCACTGCTTTCGCTGCTGAAATCTTCATTAATCCTCAGCAACTCCAACGACTTTACGCTCTGTTCATCGTCCGATGGCAATATTCCGTTCAGCGCGTCTTTCTTCGCCTTTTTTCGGCCGAATCCGAAAGATATCGTTCCTGTTCGGTGCTTGCTTCCTTTACCGTCTGGATTTATGTCATCCTCGACCCTTTGCCTAAAAGACAATAAAATCTCAGCAATGATGCAGAAAAACCGCGGGGGAATGCGTGTTATCGATGGCGATAAGCATGATGTCATAATCCATCATTTGCCTAAAAGACAATAAAATCTCAGCAATGATGTAGAAAAACCGCGGGGGAATGCGTGTTATCGATGGCGATAAGCATGATGTCATCCTCGACCCTTTGCCTAAAAGACAATAAAATTTCAGCAATGACGCAGAGAAACCGCGGGGGAATGCGTGTTATCGATGGCGATAAGCATGATGTCATAATCAATCCTTTGCCTAAAGACAATAAGATCTCAGCAATGACGCAGAGAAACCGCGGGGGAATGCGTGTTATCAATGGCGATAAGCATGATGTCATAATCAATCCTTTGCTTGAAAGATAAAAAGATCTAAGTGCAAAAAGATAGGAGAGATGACATTAGGATCTAACTGCTTTTGCAGTAAACGCATTGATTGCTATAACTATGACGTCATCATCACTTTTTGCCAGAAAACAATAAAATCTGTAAAAGGATAATAAAATTGCGGAAAGTATAATGCGGTTGCGAACCCATGAACCGCGACACTGTAGACCGTATGCACTCCAAACTAAGCATCTCTCCTTTAAAGACTCATTGCTAACAGTGAGCCATTGCGCTACGCAAGCATCCCATAATGCATTTTTAGACAGTCTAAAATCAGTTTACTACCATTGAAGACAGTTTATTGCCATTGTTTGGATCGTCGCCACGCTCGCAAAGGCCCATTGTTAGCAACGAGCAACAAGACAAATATTCAAACAAAAATATAGCAAAATAATTTGAGAATACAATTTAATCTCAATAATTTCTTAGCTGTTTTTGAATTATCCTGGAACTCTTCTACTTCTCTTTGCACTTGAATTGAATTAAAAACCCACCTGATTGCATCGCTATCTGACGTCGTCCTTTGTCGCTGATTCCGATGCGATGATAGCGAAAATAGTCGTCTACTAGTCGATGGAGTGGCGAAAATATCACTCTTGTTATTTTCTTTCGTATACCCAGCCATGCCTTTTCTCGTCAACTGAGGCGTCGTCGCTTTGCAAGATACAAGGTCTTTACGATCACTCGTCTTAATTGGTGCCGATAATTTACGAAGCAGTTTTCTGATAGCCGATCGTTTTTTCTCGTTGACTGTCAAGGGAGCCTCGGAGAAAGTCGTTGAAATATCGTCGCTTTGGGAGTGGTTTTCGTTTACTATGTCTGGATGTGTTTTGATGGAAGCTAAAATGTAAAGCAGATCAACTTAGTTCATTCTACATTCAGTTCAAAACAGCTCTTGAATTCAATCCAATTTAAAAGTCAATTCAATTTTGGTTTTGAGTCAAATTCAAATTGATTCTCGCAGAAAACTGGTCAAAATCCTGCCTTTTCAACATCTTAAGACTACCCTTTTCAATCTGTGCCATGGAAAATTCAAGATTGCGGCCCTTTTCTTGTCGGTAATTAATTTAGATTTTCTTTCCATTCCATGGATGCAATTGAAAGATTATTCTCTCTTTACGAAAGGACCGAATGCTCAAAGCTTGAATTCGATCGCACAAGGAATCACCATTTTTTCATTTCATAGATAGAAAGATCTGGTATTGTTAAGGCCGATTTCCATTTGACAATTTTTTCGCGCGCGGTCGTAGCGCCCACATCTAAGCATGCGTAGTTAAAATCAAGTGGTCTCGATTTTGCGTCCGCTGTAAGCGCCAGAAAGTTGACAGGGTCTAAACTTTTTTGTGCGCTCGGCAACATGACAGCAGCACTTAACTACGCATGCTCAGATTTGGGCGCTACGCCGCGCGCACAAAAAATGTCAAATGGAAATCGGCCTGTACAACGAAGAAAATTGTGCAAAGCGAAGGATGATACCCGGGCGAAAAGTAACGATAAGGGGCTTTGAACGGAAGGTGAGATCGGGATGGGGATACCCAGAGGATAATCTCGCAAAGCCAGGGTATCTCCTGTAAAAGCCAAGGAATCTTCTGGCTTAAGGCGATTCCCTAAGTCAATAGTCAAAGTGAAGAAAATGAAAATTATAAGGTGCGAAATGTGCATTAGTCAAATGGTCCTTGAAAAAGTTCCAGGTTACGGAAATAAGAAATCGAGTCAAAATATATTGAAAAAAGTATAATTCCAATAGAAAATATGCTTGAAATGATGTAAGGTGTCAAAGAATATTGGATAAAATTCAAAATTATATTTCAACACAATTTTGAAAATAATTAAAAATAAAAAGTTCAGATAGCTAACTGCATAAAATGATAACAGTTATCGACGAGGTTAAAAAAATTTTCAGGTTTTGAAAGATGAGTTGAAAGAATGACTTCTTGTAAAATTCTGCATTGAGTAAAAGCTGGTGTTGGATATGAAAAACTTATCGAATCTAAAGAAATAAAGCCAAGCCAAGTGTTTTAAAGTCACAGGTTAAACGAAGTATTCTGCAAATTCAACTTGATAACATAAACACAGTCATGTGCAAAAGTTTAAAACAAGAAGAAAACTTGAGAAGGAACGCCATTTTTCCAAAAACCCATAAATACTTATATATTCATACTAGTTTATATATGTTCATTCTATATATTTTTTAAAGACAAAAATGATACACACTTTATTTTAAAATTGAAGTAAAATGCATTAGGACAGCTTTTTTAAAAACAAGAAATCTTATTTTGATGTTAACATAGACAAATTGGAAAACGTGACAAGTGGCTTAAAACTTTTGCACTTGACTGCATGTACATCATAAACTGCTTTACTTGATGCCGTAGAGGCAGAGCTGCACACGCTGTGGAGAATACTGCAGTGTATGTTTAAACCTATAGTTACACGAATCCCTTGCCTGCCTCGCAAAAATATGTATATTTATTTATTATATTTAGGATATTACGTCAAATAAACATCCGTTTTGAAACTGAGATTTAAAAAAACACATTCTTCTTTAAAAAAAGAGATTTTGCTCACCCCAAAAAGATGAGAGTTTCTTGTACTGAACAACCAAGCGCAATATTAGGATGAACTATTCGTTTTTACTCGGCATCGCAAATGCACAACACAATGGCACCTGCCGATAAGTATCATGGGAGTAGATAGGATTCTCTAGACGGGGGTCAGAAATATTATAACTCGTAACAAACCGTTACTGAAATGCGGTATGAAGCATCAAAGATTTTGGATCTTAATCTACGTTAATTAGGCCGTTTTCGAAGAAATTTTCGTAGTTTAAGATATCTTAAGTGGATTTTAAAAAACAAAGCTCTCTTTTAGAAGGAGCTCTAAGCGATGAAAACAACTGAGATTGTGGAGGCTTCCATAAAAGCCTTGGTCAAAAGTTCTTGAGCAATGGGCATGTTCTGCGACAATATTTTCAAAACCGGCCTAATATCACATTGCATGAAAATACAAAACCAATTAATTTCTCTTGCATTCTACTGGTTTCATTGAATTCTATTGATTTCATTGGATCTCGTTAATTTCTACTGGGGAAGATTGCTTAGGGTTATTGGTGTTAACGAGGCTGAATCTAGATGGCGGCTATCCACTTTAGCAAGGCTGGCCTTAGACTTACTCCACGAGCCTCTGTTTCGCTACTGCCTCTGTTGCAGCGGCTCATGGAGTAAGTCTAGGCTGGTCTGAAGCAACTGAGTTTGAAAGTGACGATATCACAGATTCTTTTCTTTATCTAGGTCGATACCCCCGTCTTCAGAATGACTAACATTTAAAAATCCTCCATTAAATCTTAGATAATTTAAAAAATCGTTATCAATAAATAATTATTGATAGATAGACCTAAGGTTTCCTTCAAATTGCTTAAACAGCTCACATAGTGATCCTGGATTGTAGGCAAGTTCTGAGACATTTTTAAATGGGATTAATAACCCTGACGATAAAAGCCACTGATGAAGTGTAATTAAGGGTCTGGGTAAGAGGTTTTGCTGACGTCATTTTAAAGATTTTCGGTTATGCTATAGCAAAACACATGCTGAGCTTTGTTGAAAATACAAAAACTTTGGGGGTACATAATTCAAAAATGGCTTTGAAGAAAAGCAAACAGTTAAATATTTTGACATTCAAGTCAGAACATAGATCGAAAACTATAAGATAGGAAATATATTTAACCAGTTGTGGATGGATCAATGCTCTGATGTTTTATACTCCGAAGAGTGTTAGATAAAAGCTTTAGTGTGCTCCAAAATGTTGCGTTTTTCAGAGCCATATATACAAATAATAAATAACATTATTGAATCATAATGTAAAAAAAGACTGCTTGTTGAAATGAGGCGAAAATTAAAGTATTTTCTAAATATTTAACTGCCAAATAATGGTTTTTTTTATCCGAAAACTTGATTCCAGTTTCAGCCCGGCGTTTCATATTTTTTCGCATAATTTCAGCTTCGCGTGTTTTTATTTTGTAACCTGTGCCTGATAAAGTAATTAAAGCTATTTTGTTTATCGCTTTCTGTTTTTTTGTTACTGTTTTACATTCTTCAATTTTTGCTGGTATTTTATTTCTTGAGTTTTATTGAATTTCAACCTGCCTTGTTTCTTATGTTGTTCTTAATAAAGTCAATGAGCAATGGGCAAGAATCTTACTGACTTTGCATCTATAACCTTCATCAGAATTATAGGAACAATTGTATGATACAAATTTTGTTTCTTTCATTTCAAACCGTCCTTGTTTAAGCTGGTTGACTTTATTTAGAGCCAATGACAGTATTTAGAGTTAGGGGTGTACCGGATCAGGATTTTCAGAATCCGGCCGGAACCGGATTTACCGGATTTTTTCGTGGAATATCCGGCCGGATTTTACCGGATAATCTGGCCATTTATGGATTTTTCAGTAATAAAAGTTTTGAGCCACTTTGCGAAAAAATCTATAGCGAGAAGATCAAAGAGACCCATTCAGGGTTGCCAGATTGAATTTACAAACGAAGGCTAGACTGGTGAGCAATTTAAGCCAAAATATTCCTAAAAAAAAGGCCATATCAAAAACTTTCTCAAGAATCCATCGAGCAGGCACTGGTTATATTTCTACGCTTGTGCCTGTTAGATAATTTCTTAACTTAGATAAGAATCTTACTTTTTTCCAAAACCCTTTGCTAATATCATGATAATATTTAGGTTAGGTGATAAAATTTGAAATTTGGTTAACACTTTGTAGTTAACTACTAATTATTCCATGAATGTAGTAATTACTCATTAATTCTAGACGTTCTGCTGAAAAGGCCAACAAGGTCAAATTTAAGTAATAAGCAAGAAACAATTTTTCCAGGCAATCTAAATCTAAAAACCAAAATTGAAAAATTTGGCCTAAAAAGCCAATCTGGCAACCCTGGATCAAATTTGTGAATTAGATCATCCAGTCTTCCTGTTTCATGATGACGAGCACTTTAATTTCAAATCTGTTTTCAAGGCGCTTGTTTTAACGTCGATCTTTTTAGTTCCGAAAAATCCGGCAACTGGCCGGATTTCAAAAACAAATCCGGCCGGAACCGGATTCTCAAAAAATCAGTGATCCGGCGCCGGATTATCCGGCCTACCTGATATCCGGTACATCCCTATTTAGAGTTTATTTATGTGGTTTTAGGGGCAAATCTCAGCCTGATGTTTCTTATAAGGGTTGTTCTTATAAAAATATAGTGTAAAGTAAGAGTTGGTCCTCCTACCTTTATCGTCTTGCTTTGCCGCTTTCTTCATCCTTTTACTGCTCATCTTTACATCATTTCTGTCCAGTTCAGAAACTTCAGTTGCATCAGCTATTCTTTTACTCTCTTGTTCACTTGGTATTAAATCCGGCATGTACCCACCACCGCTTCTGACGTTGTCATCCCCAGACCCTTCCAAAGTTACTTGCCTCGCTTCCTCTTCCTCTAGCCTCTTTATCATCATGGCTCTCTCCTTTGCAACTTTACTTATTTGGTCAATGTCATCATAAAAATGGGCCGATGTCAAATCGTCGTCTATCTCGCTAGGGTCACACATTGGTATGTAAGGCCCAGTCCCGACATGCATCGCTCTAGATACCCACGCTAGAGGACAACCATCTTTTAGTGAAGACACATCAGGGGTATGACCCCCTGGAATTGGAGGTAAAGACCGATGGGGATTATACGCACCAATCTGCACTGTTAATTGAGACTTGATTTCCGTGTTTGTGCCTGTGATTTCTGTCTCTCTCACAGAATTCCCAGAATTCTCATTTCCAAGAAATTGAGCATTATTTTGAAGACTGCTCTGGTCTTTGCTTTCAACATCATCCATTGAAGGCGGTTCAGGCGAAACAGCTGAATCAGGAACGGGGGGCCACTCAGGAGTTTTGCTTCTATCGATCTTTGAAGAGATAATAAAAAAATTCAACTGCGTTTAACCTTGACATAAAAAGAGCGAAATCACAAAAATTGAGGAAAGAAAAAACTGTGAAAATATGCTTGACCTAAATTTCAAATATTTGATAATATTTCAGAAGGTGAACGAAAATATAAATTTTATTCTAAAACTAAAAGTCGACCCATCGAGGCAAGCATGGGAGAAGCCATCGATATTTAGCATTTGGTATAATTTCAAATACTTAGAGTAAGGGTGACAGGGGTGGGATGTGGGTCCATTTATATTGGAACAGCAATTTAATTTGATGACAATGTCCTTTAAGGGTGGGAGGGTGTTTTGGAGATCAATAGAATTATTTGAAAATTTTTGTTAGCATAAGAACAAAAGAGGAAGGATTTTAAGAAAATCACCTCGTTGTTGGCAATGGCTAAATCTTCTTGGGAAGGAGGGGGTGGGAAGTCTTGTGAAACATGCATATCCCTTTGATGTGAATCACCATTCAACAATGCTGTTTCACAATGATCGCTACCGGTTCCTTTGCTGTTTAAAAGCGATTGTGAAGATGTATTGTTGTCTGTAGATTGGCTTGTCAATATTTCTTTGCTGTGCACGGCTGCTCTCGCTTCTGTTGAAAATAATTATAACAATTACGAGAAAAAATAAAACTAACTGAATAAAAATATTTCTGTTTTTATTTACATACAACACTAAGCGCCATCCTAGCCTCATCCCGAAAAACACGGTTAAGTTTGATTTAAAGGGGGAGGGTAAGGTCTTCCCGAAACTACTCTACATTCAGAGATATCTTTGATTCAGAGATGTTTCCTTTTCAAATTCTTCCTTTATCAAACATCAACAGGCGTAAAAAGATATTCATTAAATATGAAAATAACAGAAAAAAACAAGCTGAGTAAAGAGTCATTATTTCCATTAAACATAGGTATATTTTAAGAGTGACAAAACTCGCGAAAGTGCAGAGGATATCACCTTAACTTTGTTCCTAAAGAGATGTTTTAAATTGAGAAATTGGAGCAATACGATGCTTCTAAATTTTCAGAAATTAACGGATGATGGATGGGGTTCAGCTAATTCTCCTATATCGAACAACAAAAGGGCCTAAAAAGGTATTTATTGCATAAAAAACCGGAAGAAATTGAGGAAGATGGAAAGTACAAAATTCTAGTTTTCTTTAAACATCAAGGTTTGTTTGTAGAATGACAAGACATATGTTATCAAAGGTGCAGACGATATGACTTTTGAATTGAGACATTGTAGCAACACGGGAAGAGTAATGATGCAGTTTCGTAAGGACATGCAAAGCAAAAAGATCTTTCCGTTTGTAGTAACGGAAGTTTTCAGCCACCTCTGTCTCGACAAGTCTTTTCCGCAATTTAAGAATCAGGAATTTGGCTAAAATAACTCAGATCAGAGATTACGTTGCTATTTATAACCCAGCAAAGCTTTGAAATGGCCTGCTAATCGCTTGTAACCTTCATAACCTATTGTGAACGGGAAATACGAAATTCAAGGAAGTGATTTTCACCGTTGTGCGTCAGGCCCGAAAACCACATTCTAAAAACTGAAATTGTTACATGTTTTCTTGGCACTCAGCCATTTAGACCTGGGCACTTAGCTATTTGATATATATTTGAACTGTGGTAATATCACCGAAAAAAGAGGCAACTCGAAGGATATCTTGGTCCATTAAAAGCTTTTGCGGGCCTGGGGACGATTAATGAGATGGGCTTTGATGACGTCACAATATTCAAGAAACGGGTACGAGATCGCCCTGACAAACATCCCACCGAGATGAACAATACAGAATTACATAACATGCAAAATGACAGGGTGCATTCCATGAATTTAGGATTACAAGAATGTGCCCGATCGCGAGATTGGTATTTGAGGATTTTGGTCAATTTAGAGTCATGAAATTTGGCATGAGAACCTTTATTACAGTGCCGTGAATCCTTGAATAATCCCCCGGGGGCTTATTTGCAAAAATGGATTTTTGAGTGGGGGCTTATTCGAGGGGGGGGGGCTATTTCAAAGTTTAGTATTTTCCCCAAAGGTCGACGTAAAAACGATATTAATTTTTTGGGGGGGGGCGGCTTATTCGAGCGTGGGGGCTTATTCGAGTATTTACGGTATTAATACAGTATACACTACATGGTGAGAACAGAAGCGGGTCACGGGCTTCGAATTAATGCTGCAGAAAAGAGGCTGCATTGAGCAGATACATTTAAGGGAGCTTTCTAGTTTCCATACTGCTCGACCTGATGACGTAATTAGTTTGCCCTAAACCTAACATGAACCCTAAACCTAACCGTAACCCTAAACCTAAACCTTAACCCTAACCCTTTACTTGAAATAATTAATCATACTAATTTATGACTATTAATCATGCTTATTTATGACTATCAGGTCGAGCAGTATGGAAACTAGACAATTCCACAATTTAGACTGAACTCCAAGAGTAGCTAATTGAATTGAATTTTAGACGCTATTGAATTGAATTCACATACGCTCAATCTATTGTACCCTCCATTGAGTGAAGCAATAGAGAAAAAGAGACTCATTGAGGTTGCTTAGATGGGGTTTCAATCAAGTGTTCTAAATCCATGTTCCATGTTTTAGACATCACATGGGCCAGCTGCATTCTGTTGCTACTGACAAACATGCAAGATGGCGCTGGAAAATTATTAGATGTGGTATGATTAAAATAGGTTCACGCTAATCCAGAACAGCTGCTTCAAAACACGAGAAATGAGAAGATTCATAAGTGTCCGTCAATATTCAGGACATTATGTGATGTTATGACGCACAAACTAAAAATTCTGTGCGTCATTCAAAGGCCGCGGATAAACATTCCGGGTGAGAAGGGTTCTATTGGTTTCAGGTGCGGATCCAGAGCAAATTTGAAGGAGGGGCAGTTCTCAGAATAAACAACATAACTTTGAGGTAATCCTTGATGCAAATTAACCTATCGGTCCAAGAACCTTTTTCACCTGATTCTCGTTCTTCAAAAGGGGCGCACAATTTCCAAAAAAAGAGGCGCCAGATTTGCTTCAGGGAGGGGTAACTGCCCCTAGTTGCCCCCCCTTAAATCCGCCACTGATTGGTTTTATGAACAGAATAAGGCCATATGAACAAAATTAGGGGCCTAACACCAAAGATTACTTTTCGGTCTTGACGCGAGCAGTACTGCCACACCGGGGCACTGCAATAATTTGCTTAGAAAAGAAGATGAGAGGGTAATGGGGGATGAAGGTAAGGGAGTAAGATAGAAACGGGGCAAGAAGGTAACGGTGTAGGAAGGTAATGGGACATGCAGGTTAAGTGGGGAAAAGGATAAGTAAGTAAGAAGAAAGGTGGGCATTTTAAGGAGGAGCTGCAATAGAAATTTCCAATTGAAATTGACATTTCCAGCAATGTGTTATGAAAGGAGACTTTCGAATCAAATTGATAAATTTCTTTCACAACAAAGTTCTTGACAGTCAATGCCGTTTCCCAGACACCAAGACACTCGTGCAGAAAATTGTATGGTAAGGTGGGAGGAATGAGGTTTTTCCATAATGGCGACCTACCTCTTAGGTAAAATTGTTGTGGTTTCATATAATTTCGACCCAGCAGGTTTTGCAGCTTGGGTGTTGTGTAATGCGCTTCAGTTTACAATGTCACATTCTGTTTCAAACATTTTCCTTAAATCCAATTATTGATATGGCGAATTCAGCTTTATATCTACACAAAATGAACTTGACCCAGTGGGTGGAAAAAGCTAATCTATTTCTTCGATGCACTGCGGCTGGATCCCATTGGCTTTTACAATACAAATTTCCACTGTTTCGGCTTGGCCTATAGATGTAACATGTACATAGAAAAGATTATAGGGACAATGGATATTGATGAAGAGGATTGTGGGAATATCTTTTGAAAAGAGGATAATACAGCTTAGGCCGGTTTGGAGATAACACTGTAAGGGCAGTTGGTCGCTCGGTGATGTGTACCTACTGGGCCTAAACTAAATGGCAAATTACAAGCCGGGAAACTAAGGCAGTCTTTCCGGATCATAAAATAAACAGACAGATGAGAAGTATCACAGGAATAAATGCTTTGTTGCAGACATAAGCATCAGTGCTTGCTTTTGTGTACAAGGACTTAACAAAGCGACGAAAGAAAATGGCGGATAGTTAGGTGTTTCCGGATTACCATAGAAACAGAGTTGAAAAGGATTATGGGAATGAATACTTCGCTTACATTGGCTAATAGAGGGAGGTAACCGACTGGCAAGAAAACAATATGAAATTTTAGATTACGGAAAGTAATGCAGTGAAAATCAATAGGTCTAACCGTTTGGTATCGTAACTGGATTATGTTCAAAATTAGAAATCAAAACTTTTGACAACAGCTTGTTTTCAACGACCAACAGGTTGCCCGAACGAAAATAATGAGCTTTCATTGCATCATACTGTGATCAAAGGAGATCTCAGAAATCTAAAAATCGGCCTAGATTAGCAAGAGCTAAGCCGAAGGATTGCAGCTATTATAGGTATCCCGAAATGCAATGCGAATAAGTGATGGGCGGGAAAGCGTCTTTGGAAAGTAGCGGCATGTTGAAGTAGAACTTGACCAGAGAGCAAGGGTCTAGGGAGTAACAACCTTTCTTGTTCTAAAATTGATGGGGTTCTTGGAAAATGTGTGTTCCTTTGCAAGAGTGTGATAAATGCTTGCGCACTGATAAAGTAATGAAGGAAAATTTCCCCCCCCCTCCCCTTGGAAATGAACCTCAACGATGTCACTTGGACCGCTTGGACTTGACCCAAATTTGATGTGAGGCATATTTTATCAAGCAAACCCACCTTACTCTACCCCTCCACCCTTCAACCCACCCTCCCCCATCAATAACGAGGGCCCTTAGATTCTTTGGCGATGTCACAGCAGAGAAAACTGGACTTCTATATGAACTTCGGCAAATTTAATAAAAGCATATTCCTTGCCAACTTTTAATTGCTTTAAGTATAAAAATAGACACCCTTTTATATAAAAGATCTTATAGGAATATTGAGGCTAGAAATAGTTGAAAATTGAGATTAATTAATAAGGGCCAGACTCGAAGTTCATCGCCATTTTGAATTTTTAACTTTATGAGTTCTTGTGCAAACAAGACAAGCGCCATATTCATGCAATCCAATTTTAGTTGATTATATTACGAATAAAGTAATGTGTTGAAGTTTAATATTTTCAAAGTCTTGTACCTTATTCAATCTGATGTAATATTTCCTTTCCGGAATGCAATAAGAAGCAATAACGATACTATCATAATGATAATAATGAAAGATGGAAACCGCAAATTAAAGATATTGGAAGCCTGTAATGTGCCGGGACAGCAGCGGGTTCTACGATGTAGAACGAAAAACTGGCTACTCAGTCAAGTACAACGGACATTGATAACCGTAGGGGTACACGAAGTATATACACAAAACTGGACAGAATGCATGGCGAGTTAATAGGAACAACCAAAGAACACGCAAAGCCACAGAGAAAGAATAAATGTGAATTGAAAATTTCCTCTCTCGTTAACAAAACAGAGAGGACTTTGTCAGCTATTCAACTGTCCTCTTAAAA